TGTCCATCGACTGCTAACATTGTGCTCCATAATGATGTACACTTGCTAATATTATGTTATTGTTCTCAATTATATTCTCGTCTATGCTGATTGTAACATTTTCATCTGTAATCGCCTGCACCACATGAATAACTCCTCAGGTAGAAGAGGCATTGATGTTAATTATTGTATTCTGTAGTCTGTTAATCATTATGTGTTTGTATGTTGATACTTCGCCTTGTGAGATGGTGCTCATTCGACCTCAACATGTGCTCGCATAAATTACACTTAGTAATATATGATATATTTTCTCAATTATATTGCGCGTCATGTGTGTGAGATAGTTTATTGTAATCGCACAAAATCAACATCTCTCGTAGAGAAAGCATTTGATGTTACATATTTATGTTCTGATCTCATGTTCATATTTCGTTATGTGTCTAGTACTGTTAGCATCGCCTTGGAGATGTGCTTCCATCGACCTTCCAGCTATGTGGCGTCCATATAATTTTACACTTGTAATATTATGTATAGTCTTTGCGCTCAAATTATATTGGCGTCATATGTGGTAACATTTCATCTGTGATCGCCCACTACTCAAATAAACTCGGCTCAGAGGAAAGCATTGATCTTACTATTTATTTCTGACTATGCTTAATCGATTATGTGTCAGTATGTGTACATCCGCTTGCCGAGATGTTGCTCCAGCCGACCTCAACATGTGGCCTCCATTAAAATGTACCACTTGATAATAGTATGTTATATTTTTCTTCAATTATATATCGCGTTCATGTGTTCGCTAAATTTCAGTGCTGGAGTCGCCCACCAAAAATAACTCCTCAGAGAAAGCATCTGTCCGGGATCGTTGATAGTTATTTCTGACTCATGTTAATCATATGTATATGTGTACATCGACCTGGAGATGTGCTCCATCGGACCTCAACATGTGCTTGGCGTTTGGGGTTCACACCTCCACGGCGGGTCACTATAATGACGGTCAGCGACTGTTCACCAATCAGTGGCCAGGGCGAGGCCGGCCGCTTACATTATGGCTGACCACTAGATACGTTGCAATTGCAGAAGGCTATTGCACATCGCATAGGGTACGACACTTATTGTTATTGTTATTATGAGTTTGCGCCGCAAGTCAAGAGTATACGAAGAGGAGCTGTAACAAGACAACCACAAAGGTAGAAGAAATTGCAACCCACTTGAATGCCATGGCCATGCGGACCGAAGAGAGTTAACTGGAATAACTGTGTGCTAAAGCCGTCCCAATATTCAGGGATGGCGAACAATTATCAACAAAGTTATTAACAGTTGGATAGGGAGTGAGATAGGGTTAATCTTATGTGTCAACTAATGTACAATCGCGCTTGGAGTGGGCTCTATCGACGCTCAAACATAGTGCGGTCCATATAGCCATTTGGATGTTGTACATATTCCGTGACTGTTGATCTTCGCGATGTGTTAAGTCATTATAGTGTCAGTCTCTGGTTGATGTAGATCGCCTGTGGAGGATTTGGCTCTATCGAGCTTCAACATCGTGCTCGCATATAAGCATTTGATGTTACAATATTTATTTCTGATCTCATGTTAATCATATATGTTGTCAGTGACTGTTGATACATCGCCTTGGAGGATGTGCTTCATGCCCTCAACATGCGGTAGCTCCATAAATTTACATCTTGCTGAATATATGTATAGTTTTGCTCAATTATGAGTTCGCGTATGTGTGTAGAATTTCTATCTGTAAATCGGCACACAAATAACAAGGGCTCCTCAGAGAAAGCATTGATGTTACATATTTTATTCTGAGAGGCTCTATGTTAATCAGTTCATGTGTTAGTATGTGGTACATCGCCATGGAGATGTGCTCGACCGAGCACTGTCAACATGTGCTCCATGGTAAATTACCACTGATATATATCATGGTATATTTATTATCATTTATATTTTCGGCGTCCATGTGTATTAAATTTCATCTGTGATCGCACCAAAATACACTCTCTAGAGAAAGGCATTTGATGTTACCATATTTAGTTTCTGACTCATGTTAATTCATTATGTGTCAGTAGTGTGCTACATCGCTATGGTAGATGTGCTCCATCGACTAACATGGTGCTCCATAAAATTACACCTTGTATTAATACTATAGCTATATTTTTCTCAATTATATTCGCGTCATGTGTATTAAATTTCATTCTGTAATGCGCCACCAAAATACACTCCCTCAGGGAATAGCATATTGATGTTACATATTTATTTCTGACTCATGTTAATCATTATGTGTCAGTATATGTGTACATCGCCTTGGAGATGTGCTCCATCGACCTCAACATGTGCTCCATAAATTACACTTGATAATATATGTATATTTTCTCAATTATATTCGCGTCATGTGTGCAAATTTAATCTGTAATCGCACCAAAATTAATCCTCAGAGAGAGCATTGATTTTACCTATTTATGTCTGCCTGACATTATTTATGTATCATTATGTACCCTGCCTTTTTATATTTCGCATAAAGCATGGCGTATCTTTCCATAATATTGTTTCCATTTATTCTAACTCATTGTAATATATTTTACCACAGTAAATTTAATCATTATTCTTGTACACAAAGAATTATACACAAAAGCATTCCATCAAAGTGTCAAGTTATTAATGTAAAGAACTGGACAAAAATATACATATATATATTAACATCTAAAAAGCATGCGTAGATATGCATTTTAGTATTATACAATGTTGCATAGACAATATTACTAATAAATAGTATTACAAATTGTGCATGTGATGTTATATAATGATATAACAATACAGGGTGGCCACCAAAAACGGAACGGGGCACCTCCTAAAATATAGTAACAGTCATATGCCATGTACAGGCATGCTTTTAATAGAAAAGCAATAATGTTATGTTTGGCAAAACAGGTTTCCACTCTTAGTATATTCATGTAAGAATATACAAACTTTGCATTATTCAAGAAAATCAATTTTTTACGGACAGTCTTACAATTGGTAATTGGCATAAATGGTGTCACACATTGTTTCATGCCACACCACGTCCACAATCGGTGATGTGAGCTGTGACACAGTTACTAATTTGCACACAATTTAGAATTCCAGACAACAATAAAATATATTGTCCTATTTTTGCAAGCCAACATTACACAGTAACGAGAAAGAAAGATAAATAAAATATAATTGAAGAGCTATACTGAGGTTATATCTTCAAAATACCTTTAAGCTGTATCATTTCAATATTTAGAAATTTAAATAATAAATGATTGTTACCAATGCATTTGTCTACCAACTGCAGACTCTAAATCGTGTTTGTAAAGTAAAAAAGAACTGACGCGAATATAATTGATAAAATATACATATATTAGCAAGTGTAATTTATGGAGCACATGTTGATGTAGATGGAGCACATCTCCAAGGCGATATACACATAGTAACACATAATGATTAACGTGAGTCAGAAATAAAT